TCCCCAACCTGTGAATTCCAATAAAGTAACAATTATTGGTAATAATAATGGTAATTATTAATATTCAATCATTGATTTTCATTTTTATTAATTTTTAAAATTAACAATATTTATTAATACACATTCTGTGATAAATATTTTTTTTAGATTCTCATCAGATTGATTTACTAGATGAATTTTAAACCCTGTCCTGTCATTTTATTATGTATTAAATTTATTTTTTATTTTATTTATAGTTATGATATTAAAGATTTGAGAAATGAGATTGCATTTAATAGTGATATTATATACTGTATTCATTTTATTTGAACTATTCATTGTATTTGAATAGAAACCCTAATTCTGGTCAAGGACAAGGTTTTCTTTCCAGTACTATTATTGCAGGTGAGTTCTGGTCAAGTGTCTCCAGTTTTATATGCTCTAAAATATACTACTTGAGGCATCACTACAAGCAATATAGTAAAATCAAAATGGTTCCTAACTAATAGTTAATTGTTGGCCAAACCATTAATCATCAGAAAGGATTATGAATCAATCACACCAGCTTTATTAATTAATTGCAGTTTTTATTATCAAATGTATATTATTAAAAAAATTGAAGGAAATTTCAAGTGTATTTATACTTCTTGAAACATTACAAACAACATGACCTTTTACATGATTTTGTCCAACAAATATTAATAATGAATGACTAACATTAATTACTAATGTTAAATGCCGAAATGCATCATCATTGAGGATCATTTCAAATATATAATGAGATCTAATTTCATATCTGTTTTTTCACAACTAAAAAATTAAAAAATAAAAAGTGAGTTTGTATAATTAATGATAAAACAAAATTAAAAAATTTTGATTAACCATAAAAAAGTAAAAAATCAAAAGGTTTAACAACTTGAAGGGTAAAGATTTATTTGAAAGACTTGTTGCAATATCTCCACAAAATGAAATCATCCTCAAAAAACGTATTTTCATTTGCTACTTGTTGCTACTAATGTTATTGTTTAATGTACAGGGTGTTAAGAAAAAAACGGCGGTTGGTAAAAATATTGTTTTTAATGAAAAAGTAGCCAAAATTATATGATGAAAATTATAACAGAGAATCGGAG